CACTTAACTGACTGAGCCATCCAGGCACCCTATTGATTCATTTTAAAAATAGATATAGGCCAGGGCGCCTGGGTGGCTTAGTCGGTTAAGCGTCCGACTTTCGCTTGGGTCATGATCTCGCAGTTCATGGGTTCGAGCCCCGTGTCGGGCTCTGTGCTGACTGCCAGCTCAGAGCCTGGAGCCTGCTTCAGATTCTGTGTCTCCCTCTCTCTCTGACCCTCCCCTGCTCACGCTGTATCTCTCCCTTTCTCCTAGAAATACATAAAACATTAAAAAAAAATAGATGTAGGCCTATTCATATTGTCTTTTTTTTTTTGGTATGTATATAGGGTGGCAGATGTCTTTCAAGGAATTGATCCACTTTAGGTTATTAAATTTGTGGACATAGAGTTGTTCATAATTCTTATTTGTGGTTTTCCAGTACTGCTGAGCAATTCTCTGATTTTCAGTGGACAGCTGACCAGTATCCCACTAATTTAACTCAATTCTAACACTATCTATCTGCCTGGAAATAATATCCAGATTCCACAGGTTAAGGGCTCTGTCCCACAAAACTGCCCTCACTCTCCCCTTCAGATGCCAAAGTCTAGGATATGACCTGTGCTTCTTACTGATTGGCTATAAATTGGTGGTTTCCATGATCCCCTCAATATTACTGAGCCATAGTAATGTTCACACAATATTCTTTTAATGGTCACAAGGTCTGTGGAAACATCTGCTCCTTCATTTCTTATATTAGTTATTTGTATCTTCTCTTTCTTTTTTTTTCCCTACTATCAATTTTATTGATCTTTTCAAAGAACCAAATTTTGGTTGTATTGATTTTTCTCTATTTTCTTTTTTCAGTTTCATTGATTTCTGCTCTAATTCTTCTGCTTACTTTGGATTTAATTTGCTCTTCTCGTTTCCTAAAGTGGAAGCTTATGTTAGTGATTTTAGATTTTTTTCCTAGTGTACGCATTGAAAGCTACAAACTTTCCAGTATGCATAGATTTCAACTATAATATGAATTTTGATATGTTGTTCTTTCATTTTCATTTAGTTTAAAATATTTAAAAATTTCTCAAGATTTCTTTCTTGATTGTGTATTACTTAGAAGTGTGTTGTTTAATCTCCATGTATTTTGTGATTTGCTAATTTTTTGTTAATGATTTTTCATTTAATTCCATTTTGGTCTTTGAACAGACATTGTAAGATTTCTAGTCTTTTAACCTTTGTTATCGTGTGTGTTATGGCCATGCAGTGTATTTGGTGAATGTTTCTTATGAGCTTGAGAAGAATGTGTATTCTGCTGTTGTTGGATAGTCTGTAGATGCCAGTTATATTCAATTGTCTGAATTACATTCAATTATATTCTGTAGCTTTGAATGCATACATTAGGAAAAAAATCTGTATTGTTGAATTCAGCTATGTCCTTACTGATTGATTTTCTGCCTGATGGATTTATCTATTTTTTGTTAGAGGGCTGTTAAACTCTCCAACTGTAATAGTGGCTTCATTTATTTATCTTTGCAGTTTTATTATTTTTTGACATTGTTATATTGATATTCTGTAGTTAGGCATGTACATAGTAAGGATGCTAGGTCTTTTTTGGAGAATTAATCCCTTTACCTTATGTAATGGCTCTATCCCTGATAACTTTACTTGCTCCCAATCTACTCAGTCTAAAATTAGTATAGCTACTCCCACTTTCTTTTAATTGGTGTTAGCATGGTATATCTTTCTCCGGCTCTTTATTTTTAATGTATATGTGTCTTTGTATTTAAAGTGGACTTCCTGTGCATTTAAAGTGATTATTGGTATGGATGGATTAATATCTGCCATTATCTGTTGTAATTTTCTAGTTGTAGCCCTTGTTATTTTTTTCTATTTTTCCTCCACTCTTTTTTTTTTGCCTTTTGTGATTTTAAGGGAACATTTCATATGATTCAGTCTTCTCTCATAGCATATTAATTATACTTTTATTTTTGCTATTTTTAGTCGTTGCTTTTTTAAATAACATTATACCACTTCATTGGTAGTGCAGGCAAGTGAAGTGAGTAACAATATTCACAATTCCTCCTTCCTTTTCTTGGTATCCTTGCTGTCATTTATTTCACTTTTATGGAAACACACATACACCCCATCCTATATCATTTTCTTCTTTCTGAAGAACTCTTTTTTTAAACATTTTTTTGCAAGGTTAGTTTAATGGCAACAAATTTTTTTAATGATTCTTTGAGAAGTCTTTATTTCTGCTTTCCTTTTGAAGAATAATTTAACAGGGTACATAATAGTGTACCACCCTTGGTGGTTATTTTCTCTCATTGCTATTTCACTCCATTTCCTGCTTGTTTGCATGGTTTCTGAGATGTCAGATGTAATTAATATGTATACTCCCATATAGACAAGGTATTTTTTTCTGCTGATTTCTGTTTTCTATTTTTTTCTTTATTGATTTTTGCAGTTTGACAATGATATAACTAGGTGTAGTTTTTGATACTTATTGTGCCTGGTGTTCTTGGAGCTTCCTGGACCTCTGGTTTGATGTGTCACATCAGTTTGGGGAAATGTGTTGTTTTGCTTCAAGTATTCTGTTTTTTTCCTCTCTGCTATTTCTTTTTTCTTTAAAATTTTTTTTGTTTCTTTTGGGGGGCGAGAGTGTCAGCACAGAGCCTGACATGGGGCTCAAACTCACAAACTGAGATCATGACCTGAAGTCAGACAGATGCCTAACCAGCTGATCCACTAGATGCCCCTCTTCTCTTCTATTTCAGTTATGCCTATGTTTTACTTTTTGTAGTTTCCCACAGTTCTTGGATGATCTGTTTCAGGTGGGGGTTTTTTTGTTTGTTTGTTTGTTTTTGTTATGTTTTTTCCCTTCCAGTCATTTTTTTCCCTCTTGCTTTTCAGCTGTGGAAGTTCCTCTTGACATATGCACAAGTCCAGAGATTCTCTCCTCAGCCATGTTCAAGTCCGCTTATGAGCCCCACACAGGCATTCCTTTCTGTTAGACTGGTTTGGTTTCTAGCGTTTCTTTTTGATTCTTTCTTAGAATTTGCATTTCTTTGCTTATGTTCTTCATCTGTTCTTGCATCTTGTCTCCTTTTCCCGTTAGAGCTCATAGCATATTAATCAGAGTTTTAAAAATTCTTTTTCTGATAATTCCAACATTCCTGTCATGTGCTAATCAGATTCTGATGTTTACTCTTCAGACTTTGATTTTTGTCTTATAGTGTGGCTTGCTGAAAGCTAGACAGGATGTAATGGTAAGATGTTAGGTATGGAGAAGTGTTGTGTAGTCTGGTGGGTAGGTATTCTTTATAATGAGTCTCTGCCCCTGAGGTGTGAATTTCTCACCTGCTCAGCTTTCCCTCCCTCTTAGGTGGGAAAGGATTGCTAGATGGGCTGCAATTGGGTACTCCCCTTACTCACATGAATGCTGGAGCAGGCTGGAGTTGGGAAGTTCCGTAACCCCAGATGGGTTAATCTCGAGTAAGACACTAGTTGGGTAGGTGCTAGTTAAAATAATTAACAGGTAGGCCTTGTTAAGAAGAGAATACTCTGGTATATCTCACAATGGTAATCGTCTCCCTTCTGCTGAAAGCCAGAATATTTTCTCTGATACCCACCTTGAGATCCTGGGAGAGTGTATGGTAGTCAAATTTACAAAAATGCAGTGACCCCCTTGTGTCTGGGCCCCTTTGGGATTTTAACTCCCAGAACTGTGCACACTTAGCTTCCAGCAGTTTGTCTGTTAAAATTTAGATCTGTGGTACTGGTTTCTGATGATGTTTCTGCTCATGGCTTTCTGCTCTCTCATTTTCCAACGTATCTGTCTTTCTGTGACTCTGATTTTGGGGGCAGCATTTGTCCTGTGACCCCCACTTCTGAGGGATCTAAGAAGAGTCGTTTATTTTTCACTTTATTCAGTAGCTTTTTACTTGGTTGGTTGGAGTGGTAACTTCCAAGTTCCTTAAATGCTTTATTGGAAACTAGAAGTAATTCCTTACTTTTGGTGCTTATGTGTCAACTATGCCTGTTAGAAAAACTTTGCTTTATCTTCAGAAAGCATATCATTCATTTACTCAGGTGGGTGGGGGAGAGGTGATTGCTAGAGCTCTTGAGTGAGGGAGGCTAAGTAGGTACCAACCTACACTTCCAAGAGCATTAGCCCTTTCTGCCTAAGTCCTTTCTCCTCCACTGTCAGCTGCAGGCATTACCTTCTGCTGCTGGTATTTGACTCTTCTGAGGATGCAGTGGTGTAAAACAGGCTGGTTCTTAAGCTCTTTTGTTACTGCCAGTATATGACTTGCCTTTTTTGGGTCTTCTAAGTAGGTGCCATATATCTATATTGTTACATAGTTTTTGAGGTATTGTTGTTTATTTTTTTTGTCATTGTGTGTTTGCCTTAAAAAATTCTTTTACTGTAATTAAGGGAGGGAGCTTAGTGAGTGAGATGATGGGCTCAGTCTGTGCTACCTCTGTTGATGTTTTTAATTTGTCAAGTTTTTATTTAATGGAAAATACGCAGTTAGAACTTGGTTTTCTTTTGTTCATTTTCCCCCTTCCCCCATGTCAGACATGAAAATCAACAAAATCATATAATTAATTAATTTTATTACCTGAAACATTTTGGTAGAGATTTGTCTTGTTTCTTCATTGGCAAGTAAAGCTAAGAATTATTTGATAATGAAGGTATTTCTTCTTTTAGTCTTTCTGTGTGTGTAAAGGGGTAGAGCTGTATGTAGTTTTTTTTGTAAATAAGTATCAGTGGCCTGTTTATTATATTAAGTAACAAGCAACTGAAGCATGTATGGGGGAAATGATTATAATGGATAGTAAAGGTGCCCCTACCCCCTTTTAAAGATGGAGTTGAACATTTCATTGAACCGACTCCTGGCAGCTATTCCGATTTGTTGTTGCTACTTGATTTTATCACAGGTTATTAATTTGTGATCATTTACCTCTTAAAGATTTTTAAAAATGATATTTCTATGCTTTCTTTTCATAATACACAGAGAAAGCAACCAGTGAGATGAATACTGCTGAGGATTGGGGCCTCATTTTGGATATTTGTGATAAAGTCGGTCAGTCTCGCACTGGGTAAGTGTTGCAGAGTTTCAAAGGAGCTTTATGTGTTCTCTTTATTAACATGAATGAAATGAGGGTTACAAAATAAGGCATAAACAATTTTGTTTGAGAATTTTTAGCCAGAAAGATTTGAGGAATCATCCCACTTAAATTACTCTTTATGACCATTTAGGGTAACATGACTGGTAACAGTGTTGTTATTTTAATTAATTAATTACCCTTGTCCATATTTGCTTCCTGAAGTCTAACTTTTCCCACTGGTTTTTATTTATTTTTTTATTTTTTTTAATTTTTAAATATTTTTTTAAAATATTTTTATTTATTTCTAGGAGAGAGAGAGAGAGACAGTGTGAGCAGGGGAGGGTCAGAGAGAGAGGGAGTCACAGACTGAAACAAGTTCCAGGCTCTGAGCTGGCAGTCAGCACAGAGCCCGATGCGGGGCTCGAACCCATGAACCGCGATATCATGACCTAAGCGAAAGTCGGACGCTTAACCGACTAAGCCACCCAGGCTCCCCTCCCGCTGATTTTTAAAACCATTAGTGATTTCTCAGCTATCAAGTTTCATGGTTATTTTTCAGTTCTTCTGCAGTCATATCTGCAGCATTGCACCTAACTAATTGAAAAGAGTGAGTGTTGAAGAGAGACAATTTTAGGACAGTATCATCCAAAACTTTTTGCCATTAAACTTTCAATCCAGAACTTTCAATACAGTGAATGGATTAACTGGTATACAGATTAATAATTTCATTAATTCCTGGGCTATTAATGTCAGGTTATTAGTAGTCTCATTTACCCCTTTGTGCCACAAAACTATTATTTATGTACTTGGTTGAGGAAAATGTTAAGAGAGCATTGCTGGATTATACTTGATTCTTGTGGTGTTGATCTTAACCCTCTGCCGATGCTTTCTTTGCTTCTCCTTCCTTCCCTTCTAAAGATATGCTTCCTTCAACTTTCTTTGATCCATTTTTTCCCCCAATACTTTTTTCTTTTCTAGTAATTTTTTTTTTAATCTTACAACTTCTACGTATCTTTATGTGGGTGACATCTCTGTTTTCAGTTGTGATTTTTCCCACTCTAGCTCCAGTCTTGAGGACACATCAGTGTTTCTGGATGATACCGTATAAGCTTTCATCTCAACACGTAGAAACCTGAAGTCACGTCTCTTTCTGCTTTAAGCCTGCTTTTCCATCCTTTGTTCCCTCCCTTAGTGACAAGATTATTTCATGTGTTCTTAAAACCTCAGAGTCTCCTTCACGTTAATATTCTTGCTTGATTCTGTCAGTCTGCCTCCATAATGTCTCTCAAAGCGTTGATGTTACAAAGTCTCCCCAGTTAACTTCTTGAGCATGGCCAAACCAGGCAGGGGCGGTTTGTCCTCAAGGTCTCTCTACCCCTTCGGTCAAGCCCTGTTTGGCCCGTAACGTGCAGCCGTTGTCACCAAAACAGCCAGGTTCCCTAAAATGTAGCCTCATCCACATCCCCTTTGTTGTCCTTGCATGTGAGCGCACTGAGTCTTTCTCTTTCTGACCCTGTTAGTTCCTTAATTTAATTGGAATTGGAGTAGCTACTGTGTGCTACATAGCTATTGCTTTTTCTCTATTTCTGTTCGTCCCGTGTTACTTGAGACATTCGTTACCATGCCTGGACTAGTGAATGATCCCTCTGACATCTCTTTCTATTTCCATTTATCTTCTGTCCACTTCTTCTATCTCGTTGCCATATAACAACTCTGACCATGTTACTCCCCTAGCTTCTGCACTCAGTTAAGTCCGACCTCCCTCTAGGCGTCTCACTTATTTTCCATTTATTTTTCCTCTGAGTACCATTTTTTTCAACTCAAGCTTTTTAGTTGCCAGTGCTTTTCTACCTTAGTTAAGTGCTTTTGGTCATTCTATTCTTTTAGTGTGAAATATTTTATTCTCCCGTGTTCTGTGTCTGTGTCTTATATCCTTGCAGGCCCACTATAGGTACTGTTTCCTGTACAAACTTTCTTTATCCCTTTGCTGCAGATCATATCATGGTCGTGTGCATCCTCAAAGCCCTCTATCAGAATCACTCTTATTTTTGTTTTGTTTGCATTATACTACTTTATATCTTTCTGATAGGCTTAGATTTGTCCAGTGAACAGGTCCATGAATTTTTGTTGTGTGGAGGAAGAAAGCAGCTAGCTTAGTGGTTGAGAGCATGGACTTTGGAGTGACACTGCCTGGGTTCACATCTGAGTTCTGAACACTTTGTCACACCAGGCAAATGTCTTACCTTCCTTGTCTGCTGTGGAGGAATAAAAATAGCATCCTCTCTGTAGGGGGCTGATTGTCAGTGTGAGATGAGTTACCATGTGTAAAATGTTGATAGTAGTATCTGGCATATGGGTGCAACTTTACCTCTTTTTGATTCAAGTTCCAGTTTTGTGACAGTTTGCCCGTTAAGGACTATTTATCAACCTAACTGCATCCCTGTATATTTTGGAGATAAAAGTTTTATCTGGCATTCCAGTTACTAAGTCCCACTTCTCTTCGTTCTGTTGGGTTTCTTGTTATGTTAATAAAGACAAATTTAGTATTCATTTTGTATATACTTTTTATACTTGGTTAGTTGCTTGAAATGCAAGTGATCTCCCTTTCATTACTAGAAATATTTCATATTTTTCCAGTTACATAATTTATAATCTATCTGAAATTCTGTGTAATGTACAGTGAAGATGAAGAGATCAGTTTGTTTTTCTTCATGTTAATGTTATTGTACTAGTAATATTTGTTCTTTCTGCTATTTTTTTCTTGTAATGAGAACCTTTAAGTCTACTCCCTTAGCAACTTTAAAATTACAATAAAGTGTTATAACAATACTCTCCATGCTGTACATTACATCCTCAGATCTTACTTATAACTGGAACTTTGTACCTTTTGACCGCCTTCACCTACCTCACCCCATCCCCTCCCCACCTCTGGCAGCCTGTTCTCTACTTCTGTGAGTTCAGTTTTATTAGATGCCACATATCAGTGAGATCATGTAGTATTTGTCTTTCTCCGACTTATTTCACTTAGCATAATGCCCTCTAGGTCCATCTATGTTGTCCTCATATATTTAATATGTTTTAATTTGTAGCTTTAAAAACTGTTTTTCATTTGTCTTTTTAAATATAATATCAGTAGTTTAGACACATGCCCATTTTTTTTTTCATATTTGTTTTAGACAGTGTACTCTCCATCAGTATATTCCTTAATATTTCAGTTGTCTTTTGGGCATTAAAAAAATGTTTACTTATTTTGAGAGAGAGAGTACTAAAGTGAGCAAGAGGAGCAGAGAGAAGGAGAGAGAGAATCCCCAGCAGGCTCTGTGCTGTCAGCACAATGCCTGACATGGAGCTCAGTCCCACAGAGAGTGAGATCATGACCTGATCAAGAATCACATGCTTAACTGACTGAGCCACCCAGGTGTCCCTCTTTAATTGACATTGTGCTATTTCAATGAATTCACTTAGGGAGTATTTTCAATTTTGCTAATTTAAATCATGAAGCGTAGTTCTGTTTATCCTTTTTATTTTTTAATGTTTATTTTTGAGAGAGAGAGACAGAGCATGAGCAGGAGAGGGACAGAGAGAGAGAGGGAGACACAGAATCTGAAGCAGGCTCCAGGCTCTGACCTGTCAGCTCAGAGCCCGATGTGCAGCTCGAAACCATGAACTGTGAGATCGTGACCTGAGCCAAAGTCAGACACTCAACCAGTGGAGCCACCCAGGTGCCCCTAGTTCTCTTTGTCCTTTTAAGTAGTGTTTTCTCCTTTCTTCTTCTTTCTTCCTTCCACTTATGTCTCCTCCCTTAACATTCTTTCTAGTTCCTTTAAATCCTCATCAAGTTAATTTCCAAGCATTTATTTGTTTCTTTATATAAATGTAGTATCTCTTTATAGATCTTGTTAATAAAGAATTGTTTGAAAGGGATTAAATAGTAATGGAGATGCTATTCTAATAGTATCAAACTTTAAAAAAAATTTCAAACTCTTAATACTTGTTCAAGTGTGATTTTTCTTTAAGAATAATGTTTTATATTTATGCAGTTACATTTCACTTTTATGTTATACCTTGGTAATTTCATAATAGGAAATGGCAACTATTAGGGCCATGTTAGGACTTTTCACAGGCCCTGGCCACATTTGATTTCAAGGGTCCGTTTCTCTGTGAAAATTAATAAAACTATTTTATGATTGCTTTGTTATAAAGGCAACTATATTATTACACATCCAAACATTTACTTTGCCTCAGAAGTTCATTTTTTTCCTTTTTTCCTTTTTTCCTTTTCTTTTAAAATAAAAACATTTTTTTTGGCCCCCTAAAGATATTCTCGGATCAACTTAGTAGTTGAAAATTATTAAACTTCTTCTCAGGTGAGTAGTAAACTATGGGATACTCATGGTGGTGTTCATATTTCTTTTGTTTGCTTGTTTATTTTTATTGTAAAATATAGTATACCATAAAATTTATAACTTTAACTGTTTTGTGGCATGCTTTGTGACATTCATTACATTCCCATTGTTGTGGGATTAGCACCACTATCCATCTCCAGTACTCTTCATCATCCCCAACTGAAATTGTTTACTAGATAACTCCTCAGATCCCCCTCCCCAAGCATCTGGTAACCACTTAAGATTTATATTTAATCTCTGAAATCAGTTTGTAATTAGTGTATGTGAAGAACTTGAGATCTGGTTTACATGCATTTGTGTAGTTATGGGCTGCTGATGGCTGCATAAAAACATTGATTACTGTGGGTTGTCAGTGAGGTGTTCTAGGTACCTGGGGCTGTGCTTTACAGAAGACTGAGATCCCACATCCCACGTGATGTGAGCTTTCCTGAAACAAATTTAGATAGAGCAGCTTGAAGTAGTAGTTCTGGATTAGAATCCATTTCATAAGGTTATTTGTGTACTAGGCAAGAGTGTATATTTTTTAAAAAAGCATTGCCATTTGGTATTAATCTAATTTTATAAAATATACAGATCTATATAAGA